GGGTAAATGAAATAGATACTGCTCTGAAAAAAAAAAGGTCGTGAACAAAAGTAAAAATGTTACCTATTTCAGAGAAACGCAAGCCCCTGTTCCTCCTGTTGATGAGGGTACCTTGGATTCCTGATCTCATTCTGATTAAAGGTTCAGTTCAGTAGCCCAAGCCTGGAGCTCCAGGGCAGGTCTCTGATGTTCTTTAGTGAAAATGTAACTTGGCCGGGCGCGGTGGCTGCTGGCTCGTGCCTCTAATCCCAGCACTTTAGGAGGCTGAGGGGGAAGGATTGCTTGAGGTCAGGAGTTGGAGACCAGCCTGGGCAACATAGCGAGACCCTCCTGTCTCTACTAAATATTTAAAAATTAGCCAGGTGTGGTGGTGTGCACCTATGGTCTCAGCTACTCGGGAGGCTGAGGCAGGAGGTTGCTTGAGCCCAGGAATTTAAGTCTGCAGTAAGCAGTGATGACACCATGGCACTCTAGCCCGGGCAACAAAGTGAGATTCTGCCTCACACACACAAAAAAAGTAACTTGTCTTGGACCGACGTACTCACCTTTCTGTTTTGATTAGTGAACAATTTATTAAGCAGCATGTTAACTCTAAGTAAGATAATTTAAAGCAGTGCAAACCTACTGTGGTTGCATCTAAATTCAACCAAAGAGTACGGCTGCCTTGCACATAAAAACATGTGTGAGAGCTTTGACTAAGAAGTGCGTTTTAACCTGTAATCAGCGAACAGAGGGAAATATCGGAGCTTTCCCAGTTATCTCAGCAAAAGTCCAGGTCTCCCCGACTGCGGGAAAGGTAGACCCAGAACTGATGGCAGGGTCTAAAGGAATGAAACGAGGATGTTTATTCTATTCCATCTTCTATCGCTATCAACTCACCTATTGTACAAATATATATATATATATGTATATATATATATATAACATACATTACAAATAAAAATAATTCTATTTAGTTTGTATTCTGTTTTACTATCTTGCGTATATTTTTCCTGATTCTTAAAACATCTTGGTCATACACACACACGCACACATATATTATAACTTCTGTTTTCATTTTTTTTGAAAAGAAGACTGAAATTCAAAGATGCTAAATAACATGTTAATATATAAAGAATCATAGATGTTTCAACTCTTTTTACTCTGCTGCCTCATATCCTGACTTTTCAAGCCCGTCCACAATCCCACCCACGCTCCTTTCAGCCGTCTCTCGGGGTAGCTGGTGAATATCTGGAGAGCAGAGGCCCGAACATCCCATTTCTACAGAGCTAATGGCCTTCGGGGAATTCCTGATACACCAGGTCCATAACCCCTTATCTGTGTCCCTTAAGGCAAAACATTTATAGGGTCCTCAAACTACAGCCCGAGGGCCACATGCGGCAGGCCTAGCACATTTATCCGGCCCACCCCACCGGGTGTTTTTGCTGCTGCTGCCTGTCCTGCTTAGCAGCCGACTCGTCCTGGGCCCACAGTGTGGAATGTGAGCCGCACTCTCCAACGGCCCTCCAACGGTCTGAGGGACAGTGAACTGGCCCCCTGTTTAAAAAGTTTGAGGACCCCTGCCTGTGTTATGTATCAACTTCTCTAGGATCTGAGACTGTCCTCCTTAATGGAATATATGAATATTTTTACAGCATAATATATAAAAATACTGCTACCTTATTAATCTTGTATTTTTCTAAAATGATTAACACGTGAATTGCTGTTCTCTCTCTCTCTTTCTCCTTTTCTCCTTCCCCCTTTATTTTTTAAAAGAGATATATATATTTCATAGTTTTGCTCTAGCATGCTGTGTGCAAGTTTCTAAGAGACTTTCAAATAAATGGATTTAAGAACGAGAAAGGGACCACAGACCTTCCACGATGGCATTCGCTACTGTGACTGCTTGGTCCTCGTTTGGAATCTCTGTTCTGCCTTAATGTGTCAGATTTTTTCAAACAAATCATGATATGGGGGGAAAAAAGTAAAAATATATGGATTTATTAAAATGACGGCTATCTGGTCCTTTCAGGTCATTATTCCTTTGTCTTTTTTAAAATAGTCATATATGCATTTATCTCACCAGGGAGTTCTTTAAGGAAGAGTTCAGGTCTGCTCATTGGCATGTACATCAAAGTGGCTTGGAATTAATAGGCAGCCAATAAATACTTACTGAATTAAATAAACGAATGGAATAAAAATTCCTGAACTATGAGGGAAGGTATACCAAACCACGCATATAAGGTAGTATTTCTGTTTTGCCATAGAGTGCTTGAGTTGGGAGTTGGTGCTGTTTTAACTATAAACTGCTACCTGCTGATAGCTATGTAGGAAAACAGTTTCTATCCAGTGAAAACTGTCCTCAAAGCCTGTGATTTCTGAGGCCAAAAGGAAAGACATGTTCTCTGTAAAACCGAGTGCGAAGGTTATTTGTTGAAAGTCAAAATATTTTCTAGACTATTTCTAAATCCTGGGTATTTACTATTAATGGTTGAATAGTCTACTTGAATATTCATAGACAAAGACATGGTAAACTAAGTAAAAAGGATACAGGTATTTTAAATTAATGGCAAATAAAATGAACAAAATGCAATATGTATTTTTTTTGTTTGTTTTTTTTTTTTTTTGAGACAGAGTCTCACTCTGTTGCCCGGGCTAGAGTGCCCTGGCATCAGCCTAGCTCACAGCAACCTCAAACTCCTGGGCTCAAGCGATCCTCCTGCCTCAGCCTCCCGAGTAGCTGGGACTACAAGCATGCGCCACCATGCCCGGCTAAGTTTTTGTAAATATTTTTAGTTGTCCAGATAATTTCTTTCTATTTTTAGTAGAGATGGGGTCTCGCTCTTGCTCAGGCTGGTTTCGAACTCCTGACCTTGAGCGATCCTCCTACCTTGGCCTCCCAGAGTGCTAGGATTACAGGCATGAGCCATGGTGCCCGGCCTACAATACGAATTTTTTAATACTGATTTCTGATTGTCCAAGCATGGCATGTTCACTATAGGAAAGGAAAAGAAGTTTGGTTTTTATCTTTATTGTGGAATTTAAAGCTATGTTGCCCTTCGTAGTTTCCACCCCTTAAACAACTTGCATGATTAGCAATACTCTTCTTCTCTAATGACTTCACAAAAAAGGAGAAATAGTTGGTAAAAACTATTTGAATCATACAATCGTACTGATTATATATGTGCTCAGTGATGTCATTTTGTTTTTTTCCATGAAACAAAGGCAACATAATGATCACATCTTAAAATATTTGGTCTTCAGTTAATGGAAGTTTTAATCGTTGTCAAAGAAATTTGAATAAAAAAGTAAGGGAGTTTTCTATACTGTTTTCAACCAGCAAATTCCGGACTGCTTTGTGTTCTATAAAATTCCCCTTCGTTCCTACCATCATGCAATCATTTGCACAGTTTGTTGTAGAAAAAGAAATTGAGGAATAGGTGAAGTTTTTCTTCACTGTCTCTCTTTTTCCTTTCCCCTTCTGTCACCTCCACAAGGAGGCCTTTCCTTTTTTGCCGTTGATGTCCAGGTTGCTGAGTGTTCAGGAAATCAATTCACCTTAAGAAACGGGAAATGATTTTACCTGTGGTTGAAAACTCCGGTGGACTTATGAGTACTTGGCTCATTCCTTTCTTGCTTTGCAATGTGCTATTCCTCATTTCATTCAATGCATTTAAATAAGCTTTTGTCAGCACCTACTTTAATCCTGTCATTACACTCATCCAAAGAGTTGTATTAGCTACGTTTTTAAGATATGACCGCCCATCTTGCCAGATTTTGAATCTAATTGCAGAGGCAGAACACACGATTATGAAGAAGGTGAACAGCAGCACAACTTGTTGTAGATTAAATTATGGGCTGATATGCAATGGGTTAGTGGAAGAAACATAGGCCTTCGCCTAGAGAATCTGAAACATGTTAGTTTTTTAATTATAAAAAGTTATGCAAATTTTGTATCATGTAGTTGGTAAGACCTTGACTTGCAAGTTAGACCACGTCTAAATCGTTTCTCTACCATTTACTCTCTCTGGGACGTTGGACAAGTTATATAATTTCTGTGAGCTTCACTTTCTCCCTTTTCTCTAAAGGTTGTGAGGAGTAAATAAGATGAGCATTGAGCATGCATGGTGCATGGCAAAACATTTTCTATTTTTTAAATACAACCTTGGGTGAATCACAAATTCTCAGTTTCCAGATACATGAAATGGGAATGACATTAATTCTTTATTCATGTGGCTATTGTTGATGTCAGAGAGAATAGGAAAGGGGGTTGAAATTAATTGAGCACATTCTATATGTCAGTACATAAATGCACAACTAAATACAAAGAGGGCTGGGCATGGAGGCGTGTGCCTGGAGTCCCACCCACTTAGGAGACCGAGGCGGGAGGATCATCGGAGCCCAGGAATTCAAGTTCAGCCAGGGCAACACTGTGAGACCCTATCTCTAAAAAAAAAAAAACCAAATAAATAAACAAAATAAAAGAGTTAGAAAACAGGAATAAAATAGAAGTGTTTTTAAATATTAGAAATCAAAGGCTATCAAGAGAGCGATGAGAATGAGCTATTAACTGTTACTCCCATTTCATGGAAGTGGAAACCGGTGTTTACAAAAGATAAGGAATTTGCTCGCGTTTACTCGCTGCTCATAGCCAGATTCAGCCTGGAAGTTGCCTCTCTCTTAACCACTTGACAATGTGGAGAAAACCGGAGCTGTGCAGCTTTATGGAGGTTGCAAAGACCAGACTGAAGCTCACGTCTCTGCAGCCTTAACGCCCACGATCTTTCCACCGAGCACAGGCCTCCCTGCAGGCTCCAGATCAGGAGATTTCACCCCACTGTGGGGATGGGGGACACACGGCCAGGTACGACGTTCCGTGCATGGGCCAAAGTCTCCCAGGGAGAAGAGCCAGCCAGAGCTTGAATCCGAAAGCTCCTCTGCCAGACGCCAAAGCTCCTCCCACCGAATCCAGCCCACCGCCTCTTTTGTTTTGTGGCAAACCCCTCACAGGTGAGACTTACTCTTCTTGGCCTCCTCTAGCTTGTCCTTGGCCCTTTTTTCTGCCTGGAGGAGGTGGTGGATCCCCTGGGACTGGCTGGTCATGGTGGTGGTGCCTGCTCCCAGCAAGCGTCTTTCTGTGCAACCCGAGCTGTGTCCTGTCCATTTATCCTTTTAGAGATGCCCACGTAGCTCAGCGTGTTGTGTCAACAGTGAGTTCTGAACACAGCTGTTTGCTGCAAACTGGCCCCAAGGAGAGCCCAAGGTGGAATCCAGAAAGGCGAGTTAAACCAGCATGAAGAAGGTGAAGACTGACCATAGCTACCAACGTTAGCTCTTCCGTAAGAAACAGGGAGACTTGAATGGGGTGTTGAGTCTATTTATAAAAAAAAAAAAAAAAGAAATAAATCAGATACCTGTTAGAATATTAATTTCCTTCATCTTCCAAGAAATATTGACATGTTTAGGGATCGTTTCCTTTCAAGTTACAAGATCTTTCTTTGTTCTTTGTGTAGTGGTAGTTTTTGTGTATTTCTAGTGGTTCAATTCTCTGCTTGAGGAAAGTTTATTCACCTTTTGCTAGAAAGGAAATTTTCTGGCTTATGTGCACAGGAAAAAAAACACAACAACTAGATCTATTCTTTTTTTTTTTTTCCTAGGCATCAGGTGACAAGAGTCAAAAGATTTCTTTTGGGCATTGTGTTGCTCTTTAGTAATGCTGTATGCTGAACTTCCAGGGAGATTTTGATATGGTAACTAAATAAATAGTAAGAGTAGCGGTAATAGTAACATGTAATAAAAATTATAAATGCAGGTTTGTAGATTAAATTATAATAATTTAATCATGCACTTTATCTTATTCCGTGCTCATGCTGAGTATTGTCCCAAGATAGTAAGATAAAATCCATCATATTTGATTTGATGAGATCGCGTAAGGATTGGACAGACAAGAATGTTGATCACAGTGACGAATCATAAAGTATCATTTATATGCATCTAGAATTTTTATTTGAAATGAAAAGCTAACTTTTTTTTTTTTTTTTACTCAGAATGCAGGCTTTTTTTCCCCTGAAATGATCTGCAGATTGAAGTTTCATGTATTAACTGCTTTCACAAACTGCAAATCTACTCCTCCCCTATCAATGCCAGCTTCAGTTTCTTTAAATAGGTGTCTAAGCTTAAAGACAACTGTAAAACAGCCTGGGAGCTAAATACTTTTAAATTCTAGTGATTATTTTCCCCCTAATCTTTTCAGGGTATCTTGTCCATACTGACCTTACTACGTTATGTGTGCATCACACCTAGCAAATCTTTCCAGAAGGAAAAGCTTCCCCCTCTCCCCCTGGCTCACTTTTCTTCCTTTTTTGAGTTATATTGAGTCAGCTTATAAAATACTTAATTTTTTTTTTTTTTGCATCATTACAATAACTAATGCAACTGAGATAAACAGATTTGTGAACAAGCTCAGCTCTGGCCTGATGGACAAAAATACGCAAGGGTGGAATATCCGGAAGAAGTGCATCCCTTGGGGGAAAAAAGGCTTTTAGCATAGCTCAAAGTGGGGATTGGAATAAATTTCACCCTCTTCTGAGCCTCAAAAAAATTACTCTATCGGTGAAAAGGAGGGGTAGGAAAATCTACCCAGAAGCGGAGAAAGATGGCAAGGAAGCTTGCTATCTCACTCTGGGCTCTGGGTGGGGGCTAGGAGGGGAAGTAACCCCAAGCCCACACTTGTGTGGTTTCAAATTATACTACCAGGGTCTTCTAAAGAGATAAAAACCATCCTGAATACAAGCTTAGGATCTGAATTGCAAAACAAATGAGAAAGTAAAGTCCAGGGGAGGGAGGCAGTGTAGTGATAGGTAGAGGCAAAAGTCTGGCTAGGGAAATTTGAACTCTATTATATATGCAATGGATTATTATGATTACGTAAATGAATTACTTGCTATAAAATGTATTCCCTTGTTATTTATCAAAGCTGATTCTTGATAGGATTCTTTCGCTTACAAAGTCAAACGTTTTTAAGGATAATAATACTTTTAAAAAAATCATCAGGGAAATGCAAATCAAAACCGCAGGGAGATATCACTTATCTCCAGTAAGAATGGCCTTTATCAAAAAAAAAAAAAAAATGTTATCTGCTTTTAACCTAGATTTTTAGTTTGTTCTTTAAATATCTTGTATAACTAAGGCATCAATGGACAAGAATTTCATTTTCTATTCACTAATAAAATATCAGTTTTGTGCCCCAGACTGGGTAGGATCCTTTCCAATTTATAATGTATTTGTTCATGTTTAGCTCATTTGATTCTCATAGTAGCTCAGGATGTGGTTATTGTCACATATCGCACTCATTTTATCAGTAAGGAAACTAAAGCTCCTGTAAAACAGGCAATATTGTGGCCAGGAAAGGATGGCTCCGAAAACCTTGAGTGACAGGCCAAAGGACAGGTGGCTTCTCAGTGGGACTGATCCCATGGGCAATGATCCTACTTCTTCCTGATGCTCTCTCTTTCCAGGAACAATTTGCTTCCAGATTTCTTTTTTTCTCAAGAAAAATATGAAAAGAAAACAAAGACTATCAATGGAAATTTCACTTTATAGAAAGCTATTAAAATATGGGTCAAATTCAATGCTATGGTGCTTGAATAAGTGATAATAAAAAATACCAAAACAGAGTGAGATTTGGCTTAGCCTAAAGCCTAAATCTTGATTATTGAAGATTTCTCTTCAAGAATTATCAATATAAGCACCTGGAGTATTTTTTTTTTTTTTTTTTTGAGACAGAGTCTCACTCTGTTGCCCAGGCTAGAGTGAGTGCCGTGGCGTCAGCCTAGCTCACAGCAACCTCCAACTCCTGGGCTCAAGCGATCCTGCTGCCTCAGCCTCCCGAGTAGCTGGGACTACAGGCATGCCCCACCATGCCCGGCTAATTTTTTCTATATGTATTAGTTGGCCAATTAATTTCTTTCTATTTATAGTAGAGACGGGGTCTCGCTCTTGCTCAGGCTGGTTTCGAACTCCTGACCTTGAGCGATCCGTCTGCCTCGGCCTCTCAGAGAGCTAGGATTACAGGCGTGAGCCACCGTGCCCGGCCTATTTTTTTAATTCTATTTTTTTGGTACTACTTGTTCTTGTCTTACTATTATATTCTATTGTATCTTTTTCTATTACATTTAAAAATCAAACCAAATAATTATATTTCCTTTTAATGTGAGTGGATTAAGTCATTTTTGGTTTCTCTGTTAGTAGAATGTCAGTGATGATGGTTTCTGTGTATCACTATATGAAACACAATTTATTGATATTATTACTTATTATTTATTATTGATGTTAATTATTATTTATTATTAGTTTCAATGATAAATTTGATAAAAATCTCATGAAGCACAAAAGATTTGGTTTTTTTTTTTTCAGATAAGACAGAGAAATGGATACACCAGTCATAGTAACTTTGTACAAAGAAACTATAAGAATCAGTATCATGGATATTTAGATTTCTGCTCTTTGATTCTTTCTTTCATATTTCATTTTTATTAGTGAAAAATGTAAAAAGTTATCAAAAATGATAAAGTCTTAAAAACAAAGTCTGCACCCTTTGGAAAACTTTTGATGGTTGAATGTTAAAGAATTACAGTGAAATAGATCTTATATTTGCTTGTCCTTAACTTGAAAGTTTAACCTTAAATATTTTAAATAGCTGTAATTATAAATTTAGCAAGTGCTCAGGATTTTTTTGTTGTTGTTGTTGTTATTTCTCTTTTTTAAAGTTTCACTTCTACTCAGACTTCCCTTTATTATCTATTCTGTCATTGCCCCCCGTATATTTCAGCTCATCATATGATCCTTCTTTCTTTTGCCCACGTTGGTTTGGCAACCCGATCTGAATAATGGTGAAAAGCAGATGCATGCCTGGTATCCTGAGGGCCCTGGAGCTTCTGGGGTGTCTCAAAGCTGCAAACTTCAACCTTTAATCAAAACCTTTAGACTTCATCTGGGAGCCTCTACTTAGGACAGTTCCTTTCTTTCTTCACTTCATTTATTAGCTGAGCGGTGATATCTAACACAAACATAACCCAAATATCGAACAGTTTAGAGTTTTCTTATCTCTATTAGTAGATAAGGGAATAATGACTCTCCTTCCTGTCCTCTGATTGTCTTCAGGCCTCTTTCCCTCTGGCTCAGGCATGCTGAGTATCTCCTCTGCTGTACCCGAACCATTGCTCTGTGCCTTTATCAGACTCTCCCCGATGCCTGGAAGACCTTTCCAACTCTTCTTACGTGCCTGGAAGATAAATCCTTCCAAATGCACTCCCAGTATCTGCTTTCAATGATCCCAGACCCTCTCAGACTTGACTCATGTCTTCATCTCACGCATCTCCTAGCCCTTCACGCTCACCTGCCACTGGGCATCTCTCAACAAGACTTGCACACACACTGCGAGCTCTCTCAGTCGGACATCCTGGCTTCGCGCGTGACTGTCCCTGGAACGGACCCGCGCACACAGCCGGCGACAACTTATTTTTAAAAATGACATCGATATTTTCTTTTAGCCGAAGGACAACCAAGAATTCCCTTTGCTGTGAGGAACTTCACTGAGGAGTCTGGGAGCTCTCGAAATGTCGATTTGGAAAGCGGGGCACGTCCGTCTTCGGAATTCTTGTGGCAAAAGGGTCATAAAGGTGAAAATGCTGTAGTTAAATATGGGAGCTGCTTAGAGCTGAAAGAAAACATTCCCGGCTATGGTGAGGTTATTGCAAATTGTTTCCGAAATAGGTCCTAACATTGTCTGCTCCCAGGATTGGATGATGTGGCCCTTCCGTCTTTCTGCTTTTCTTTTTTATTTCAGAATATTACGAGGGTACAAATGTTTAGGTTACATATATGGCCTTTGCCCCACCTGAGTCAGAGCTTCAAGCGTGTCCATCCCCCAGTTGGTGTGCACTGCACCCATTAGGTGTGAATATACCCATCCTCTCCTCCTCCCTCCCACCTGCCCGACGCCCGATGAATGTTACTACTGTATGTGCACTTAAGTGTTGATCAGTTAATACTGATTTGCTGGTGAGTACACGTGGTGCTTGTTTTTCTATTCTTGGGATGCTTCACTTAGTAGAATGGGCTCCAGCT